TGAACCCAGTTCAAACGACTATCAAAACAATACCAAGATATGTGGATTGATTTATTTTTTCAATAATATGGTAATATATTATTTCATGTTAACTTATTGTTGTAAAACCATTTTGTGATATTGTTTAAGTTAGTGTCTAAATCTTTTTGGAAAAAATAGGCAAGCGAATGAAAAGCAATGTAGTATCATTTGCATACATAACACTTTTACAAGTTACACAATGTGGGAGGCTATTGACATAAATAATGAATAACAGAGGGCCCCAAATTGATCCCTGTGGTACACCTATAGCAATTGACGTAAAATGAGAAAGGCTACTACCAATGTTAATTGCTTGTTGTTCTATCTCTTAAATAGGAAATAAATCAAGACAGTTCATTGCCACTGATGCATCATTGTTCCTCTTTTTTAAGAAGTTGTTTAATAGTTAGTTATAATCATTTTTAGCATTGTATTTGTTGGTACATAAACAGCATGTGTCTCTGACTGTTAACATTGACTGTATAGGACATCGGTGGCAAATTCAAGGGAGACCGAGCCAGTCCCATGTAGAGCCCGCAAATGTAAAAATAACCACTAATGTCAAAACATTGTACCCGCAAATGTCAAAATAACCACAAATGTCATAACATCTCAACCACAAAAGTAAAAATTACCACAAATGTAAAAAAAATCGCCCACAAATGTAAAAATCTGTTTAACCTCAAATGTCGAAACATTTCGCCTACAAAATGTAAAAATTTCCATTTTTACCTCAAATGTCATAACATGTCAACCGCAAATGTAAAAACCCATCGTTTTATTGGATGTACGCGTGTGAGAGTGTGTTTGCGTATGTGTCAGGTTTTCTTATGCTTTAAATTAATTTAAATATTTTATAAAATACGATTTGTATGGTGACCGTCAGGGGTATAGGCTGGGGTGCGGGGGTGTGACAGGACCACCCCCACCCCCTTAAAAAAAGCAAAAATGTTCCGCTGGTGTAAACAAAAGCCTATGCCTGCCTAGTAGTGCAATTTAAAAAAAACCTTGCAGGGCAGAGATACAGAGCGCTTAAAAAGAAAAAAAATCTTTAACCAGCATTCTTCCGTCCAGTACAGAACATAGCATATATTACTGGGGGAAAATACATATTGTTCAAGAAATCTTATTATTCCATATTCCATACTTACCAAAACTCTGGTTTTTTTTTGTTGTTTTTTTTTTTTTTTTTTTTTTTTTTTTTTTTTTTTTTGCTTTTTTTTTTTTTTTTGCAAACCGCTAAGGTCCTTTTTATTGGAATAAACTTCATAATAATATTAAAGAATTAAAAACATTTTCTCAGTTTAAGAAAAAGTGAAAGACGTATTTTGTTTCTAAATACTAGTATTTGATTTCTATTCTGCTATTGCTTCTTTTTGTACCCTTAATTTTTTTGCCAATGGGCCAACCGAGACAAGCTCGACTTTATATTTTACCATGGTAAAATAAATGTCAGATGATTTGATTTGATTAGTCGAAGCAACAGCCTAATGTTAAATACAGTAATGGGTTTTAAATGTTACCATGATTTTTAAAATTTTTGTGGAAGCGGTTTGGCGCAGCGTGAAAGGTTTGGTTTCCCAACCTCGAGGTCGGGGTTTCAATCCCTCGATGTGCATTTCGCTTGTGTCCTTGAGCAAGGCACTTTATCTGCATTGCTTCTCTCCACCCAGGAGTATAAATGGGTACCTGGTGGGGTTGCTTGCTCCTGCGCTGAATACAGCAGCAACACTTAGCATGTGGATCCAATGACCAGGGACAGAAGCGCTTCGTATCTGCAAAGAAAGGCGCTATTGTGGTGTTCTTACTGTTGTCCGGTGTGACAATACCGACGTTGAGGGCAAGCGTTGCCACAGAGAGAGAACCACGAGGAAAGAATTAAATTCTGTTCTATGAGTTATACTGTTGTATAATATTGTCTTTATTGCTAGTTTACGAGAATTCAACACCATATTTGGCGACGAGGAAAATTATTGTTTGTGTGTGCTATTATTCCTACATTTACAAGTTCTAAATTTTGCTGCAAGTCATTACAATGACAAGCACACAAATCGAGGCACCCGTGCATTTTCTGCCTACGCCGGGAGACCCTGTCATACCGCGGTTGCAGTGGAGGCGATTATTCGAGAATTACCTACTCGCTTCGAATACAGTGAAGGAATCGCCGGAGCGTAGAAGAGCTATACTTTTACACTCGCTAGGTCCGGAAGGCCAACGAATTTTTTACACGTTACCAGAACTAGGAGAAGCAGGTGACGATATTTTTACAAAGGCAATGACAACATTGCAGAGTCATTTTGCACCAAAGGTTAGTGTGGTGGCTGAGAGATATACATTTCGTCAGCGTGCACAGCTCCCGCACGAATCAGTCGACAATTACATTGCAGCGCTCCGCGAACTGGCTTCACGGTGCGAATTTGGTACGTTTGAGGACGAAATGCTACGAGATCAACTTATAGAGAAGACTAATAGTTCCAAAATACGAACTAGATTACTTACAGAAACCGATGTCAAGCTGGACAAGGCCATAAAACTAGCAAGGCAATGTGAAACTGCGATGAAAGAGGCCAAGTCTATGGGCGGAGGTGATACTCATACATGCTCTGAGGTGAATTACAAAGCTAAGCCTAGAGGTGCTAAAGCTGAATTTAAGAAGGAGAAACAGAGGCCCAGGCCAAATAGCAATGCCAAGTGTTATCGCTGTGGTTCACCTCAACATTTAGCAAATTCGCCAGAGTGTACTGCAAGGTCAAAGGACTGCAAATCTTGTGGAAAAAAGGGGACATCTGTCTAGTGTTTGCCGTGGTAAAAGGAAAGTTGTTAAGCAGGTTGAACACGCTAGAGGTGAGGCTGATCAAGATGGCGACATGATTGAAGTATTGTGTACACGGCCAAGCAACACTGATTCAAGGAAAAGTGTATGGGGAACTCTTAAAGTGAACTCTATAAATATTCAAATGCTTGTTGATACAGCATCTGATGTATCCTTACTTTCACTTAAATTATTTGATAAATATTTTGTTAGAGATGCATTGGAACCATGTATACTGCCTATAACTAGCTATACATCTCATAAGATAACAACTGTAGGATGTTTTAAAGCTAAAGTTCAGTTTAAATCTAAATGTGCAAATGCAACATTTTATGTAGTAATTAAAGGAAGTAGCCTAATAGGCAAGAATCTAATCCAAGCACTTGGAATTAACATTCATGGTAGTACGTTGACATGTTTTATGACACATGCTGAGTCTACATGTACTGATGTTAAATCACAATTTTCAAGTTTGTTTTCAGATACCTTGGGTAAGGTTAAGGGGTTCAAACATAAGGTTAAAATTCGCCCTGAGGTTAAGCCAGTCCAACAAAAGCTGCGTAGATTGCCATTGCCTGTGCGTCAAGCCGTGTCCGCTGAATTACAACGTCTTCTAGACGCAGGGATTATTGAACGCGCTGAAACGCCAGAGTGGGTTTCACCAATTGTAGTTGCATGGAAAAAGACTGGTAAAATCCGCATATGTGTTGATTTAAGAAAACCCAATGAAGCTGTTATTGAGGAAAAATTTCCTCTTCCTTCAATTGAAGAAATGTTAAGCGAGATGAATGGCGCGACATACTTTTCTAAGCTCGATCTTAAATCAGCTTATTACCAACTGGAATTAGATTCCGACAGTCGCGACATTACATCATTTATTACGCATGATGGTGTTTTCCGATTTCGTACAGTTTGTTTTGGCTTATCTTCAGCCCCTTCATGTTTCCAAAAAATGACGTCGACTGTATTAGCAGGAATTCCAAACGTACAATGTTTCATCGATGATATTATTATTTACGGACGCGACAAAGCCGCGCATGATAAAACATTATTTTCAGTGCTTACCCGTTCGAAAGAACGTGGTATGACGCTAAATGACAAATGTGAGTTCGGTGTACCTTCAATGAAAGTATTAGGTCATGTTATCGATGACAAAGGTATTCACCCTAGTGACGAATTAGTCCATGGAAATGCTAAAGCTGCAATACCCCAGAATAATCTCCAACTTAAGTTATTTCTAGGACTCGCAGATTTTTACGCTAGGTTTGTGCCAAATTTTTCAGCAAAAGTAAGCGCATTGCGAGAGGTACAATCCATTGAACCATTTATATGGACAGACAAAGCAAATTCCGCTTTTCAGGATATTAAATCCGATATTATTAATAGCCCTGGTCTTGCTCTATTCGACCCTGATCTCAAAGTTTTTGTCACAACTGATGCGAGTGGCTATGGTTTAGGAGCGGTACTTACACAGGTAAAGAGTGACGGCTCGGAAGTCACAGTTGCTTGCGCGTCTCGAACATTAACTGCACCCTAACGAAATTACTCAGTCGGAGAACGCGAAGCACTTGCTTGTGTTTGGGCTATAGAAAAATGGCATACTTATTTATGGGGGAGACATTTTACCCTTCGTACAGATCATCAGGCATTGGTTACATTACTTTCTTCAAAAGGTACAAGTCGTAGACCAATGCGGATCGCAAGATGGAACGCTCGTTAACAACATTACAATTATACGGTTGAGTACAAACCAGGTGTTCAGAACAGAATTGCCGATTCCCTTTCGAGGTTACCTATTCCTACATTCGATTCCGCGATAAATGAAGATGACAGTGATGCAGTCTGTCAAGTTGTTCCAAACGATACTTATAGCGCTATCACACGCATTGAATTAGAACAGGCTACAAATAATGATGACGTATGCATGCAGCTTAAAGAATACATACATAATGGGTGGCCGAATGATAAAAAGCATATTCCAGAAATCATTAAGCCCTACTCCTGTATTAGAGATGAGTTCTCGGTTCATAATGATATTATTTTTCGTGGTCAACGCGTGATAATACCAGCAGCACTTACTTCCAAATTAGTTTATCTGGCCCATGAAAATCATCAAGGTATTGTGCGAACCAAGCAAAGATTAAGAGATCTTTACTGGTGGCCTAAAATGGACGTACACGTAACGGACACAATTACTAATTGTTTAACTTGCCAAATTGCTGACAAGTCTGCGAAAACACGAATGGCTCCTATGCAGCCGGTACAATTGCCAGAACGTCCATGGCAAAAGCACGGGATTGATTTCGTAGGTCCGAATTATTCTGCACCTGCGAACGAGCGTTACATTATCTCATTAATCGATTACCGAAGTAAATGGCCAGAAGTTGCGTTTTGCCCAAATATTACGGCCAAAACTGTAATTTATTTTTTGACTAAGGTATTCAGTCGTGACGGTTATCCGGAAGAACTAGTTTCTGATAATGGTACGCAGTTAACTGGCCAGGAGTTTGAAACTTTCTTGAAAAAACGTAACATCAAACACAGATTTTCTGTAATGTATCACCCAGAAGGAAACAGTACTGTCGAGCGCTTTAACCGGATTTTGAATGAAACTATTCAAACGGCGCGAATCTATAAACGTCCAGTTAAAAATGCTGTGACGGAACTTATCGCGCTACGCGACATGCCACGGGCGTCATATGTTGACTTTGTTAGATATCATTGGAGTGACAACATCGCCTAAGCAAATGTCTTCAGTCGAAATAGACAATAGAAAAAAAGCAAAGCAAGCAAAGTCTGAAGAGGCGTACGACAAACGGAAGTGCGTCAAAACCAGAGTTTTTTTTCCCCGGGAGATATTGTTAAAATTAAAAAGCCCTGGAATGTCCGCAAGGGTGAGAGTAAATTTACTGAACCGGTGGAAATTAGACAACATGTTGGTCTAAAGACTTACATAATGACCAATGGTCAAAAATGGAATGTGAAACACATAGCCCCATTTCTAGGAAAGCCAACCCTATTAGGCCGAGGGGGAGATAGTCGTGATGATCACAGTAGTGACTTTATAGTTTTTCCAACTGCTGATGATTCAATGAACAACAATTCAACTCAGTTAGGTTCACGTTTCTCAAGGAGTAAGAGAGTTAGAAATCCACCTAGATGGACTCGTGACTATGTTATGGGTACCAGTAAGAAATAGAAGTGTTTATTGTTATAGTAACTGAGTTTACATTGTACCGTATATGGTATACAGTCATTTTTACTGTGATTATAGTTTCTGCTTTTAGAGAGGGGACAAATGTGGTGTTCTTACTGTTGTCCGGTGTAACAATACCGACGTTGAGGGCAGGAGTTGCCACAGAGAGAGAACCACGAGGAAAGAATTAAATTCTGTTCTATGAGTTATACTGTTGTATTATATTGTCTTTATTGCTAGTTTACGAGAATTCAACAGCTATATAAATAAATATGATTAGATTAGATTAAAATACATAAAAATATGTTACCCTTTTTAGGTGACCCCTGATCTGTCCATACTTTTCAAAATTACTATGCATATTCATATTTTACAGTGAATAAGTAGCTGGATTCTAATTTGATATAAAATTTTAAAAAATGCTCTTTTTGTGTCTATCGCTTTCAACAAAAAAAAAGTGTTTACAGCAAACATCAAAGGTTTTTACCGCTGTTGAATGCCGGCGTACTGACAAGTCGCTTCGCGCGGGCGTACCAACATTTTGACTGATTCCCACCAAAGTGTATTAACACCATAGAGATATAATAAGAATACTAGAGCGCTAACTGCAATGTAATATATTATCTGCAAATAATATGTACAATTACCATTAGGTTGAATATGACAAACAGGCGCGTAACAGGGGTCTTGGGTCAGGGAGGCAAAGGTAATAATTTTCCCGGTTAGTAATCTATCATACCCACCCCACCCTC